ATGTATTTACTGCATGAACTCCAGGAAACATTATCAGTTGGATGTCACGCAAAGCATCTTTCTACCAGTAATTTGAAATCTGAAATTCTAAAATGTCTTTCCATATCTAATAGGTAGAGAAAGACATTTTGACTGAAAAGGAAAGGCAAAAAAAATAAAAGAATTAAATTGCGTCATTTCAGTTTTCAACTCCCTTCCCTGAGCTTTAAATTCCAAACTTTGAAATAAAAAGGAAGTTTTAAAACGATAACAAATTGATAACATGAAAATGCTATTAGAAATAATTAAATTGTATGCTGTGCCAAACCATACCATTTAATTTGATTAATGTTTTTCACTTGCACTTTTCGCTTTTTCATTTCTTCCAAAAACAGTAACACTTATGTTTGCACAATGAAAAGCTCATTAGAACCATACCAATACCACCTATGCTATATTTTTCTTAAATTTTTATGAGATTTTTGAAAAAATCACAAAAGTTCGTTTTCTGACTTTGAAAATATATAGATGTAGTTATGTTTTTGATAAATTGCGTTGTCAACGAAATTTATTCTTTCAAATTTTATTCAGTGATCAGTCTGAATTGATGAACCATAGAAACCAAATGGAACATTCACATAATTAAAAGTTATAATAAGGCGAAGGATGGAAAACTGAGAAAATTGCAAATTTATATTATGAAGATAAAGGCAACAAAATAACTGCATTTTATTTTCAAAGTTTGAATAGTAAATTTATTTTTACAAAATGTATTTCCAGCAGCATGCTAAGGAAATATTTCCAAAGTGACTAGTTATCTTGTCTCGAAAGTTTTATTTCTGTCAACGATTAATAAATGATGACTGAGCTTATGATTACTTTTTATTTCTTACTTATTTCTTACAGTTTGATTAAATCATTCCTGTTTTTTTCAGGTTTTTTTTTTGCCATAGATTACTTATTTTTTAAAATTTTGGTATTTCACAAATTTTTTGAAAATTTCAAATTTACTGATTTGGTTTTAAAAGTTAAAAGAATATCAGCTATCACAATACATAATCGGTTCGTTGAAACCGTGTGATCTCAGAGAAACTTAAGGAAGACGAAGAATAAGAAGATGTATTTAGAGATTCATTTTCAGATTTTACTACTGCATTATTAGGGTTAAATGAGGTTGGTGTTTTATAATAAAGAGAGGAATTATTAGCTTGAGAAGGTTGATAATAAAAGGATTCATTACTGCAAGCAAATTGACAAATTCCGCTTGCTTGATCTGCCGAAGGATAGTGATTTTCTTCTGAGAAACATGGAATATTATGGGAGTTCTGCGGTTCTTGGTTGGTATTCAAAGGTTCGAATGGTTTATCGGAGGTACCTTGAAGCAGATCTTGCAAATGCTTAATGTACCGGGCTGCTTCACGAAGCGTTTCCACTTTACTCAATTTCTTGCTAGTTGCCGAATGAGGTACCCGATCGCGAAGATGTATGAATCCAAGATTTACCTGCAGTACACATAACTGCCTCTTACTGGCATTTTAAAAATCATTATTTGTCTGCAATCGAGAGAAAAAAATCACTGTTTAGTGTACAAATATTTAGTGAAATAGGAAGTGAGGACATTTCAATTGACAAAAAATTAATTTTAAAGATACTTATATCAAACAAGAGAAAAAAGTTAATTGAAATTATGAAATAAAAGAAGAAATCTAACTTGTTGGACACGTTTCCTTTCTCGCTCATTTCTCCTAAGCACCTGATGTGGTAATTTCGTCGCTGTACCACCAGTTTTAGACTTTCTAAGTCGTATCCGACTTGTAGAGTCACTACTAGTAGCAGTATTAGACATTGTGTTGAATGCATTTCGCATCCTCATCTAAAATACCTCCTAGATGGCACTCAGTAACAGTTTGCAACGATTAAAATTCAGTAGCAATTTTGGCTGATAATAGCACAAGGAAGAGAATCTGAAATATAAAAGCAAAATAATTTCAACAAAACCAACGGCATTTTGAATTTTTCTACATTTTATTTAAATTACATCGTCTGTTATGCTATCTAACTGTTCAGAATTTTTCTGATCGCTAGAACTTACTGAGACATTTGACAGTTCTGAATATCTTAATTATCCTTCTGTCAAATAGGATTAAATTTAGTGAATTTCGAATTCTTTTGCAAGGTGATGAAATGACCGTAAAGCGGTAAAGTGACCGTTAATTAGACTGCAATAGTGAGGAAAAATAGCGGATAACACTGAAAGAACTGAATTACATTTGGTGTATGCTATAGAAAAGCAATGGTTATGCATTTCGATTTCTTAAATAATCGCTTAAGGAGCTAGGCTATCAAATTAAGTGGACAAGAACCAAGGAAAATTAAGTAAGTAATAAGTTTTTGTTGAACCGGAGAAAGAACCGTCCCGTGTTGGGCCTCATGGAAAGATGAGCGAGCGGTGATGGCTGCAACTGGCGCAATTTGGAAGACAACCACGCCCCTACCGTTCGTGCACCCTTTGATGGATTACCATATGCAAACGTCCTCCGAATGCTTTATACTCCCATATAAATCGACCATTTGTTTATTTATAGTTGTTTGACAATGAAATAACCGCAAGAAAGTTACGTGTTGAAATTCTTCATCATTGGCTAACTTACGATAGAGAAGATGGCTAAGCCTAAAGCTAACTGTTCCTCTAGCCAGAAGTATTGTGTCTCCTTATGTATTTGAAGTTTAGCCCAGTCTGGGCTAAATTTGCAAATCCTACAATTAGAACCTTACTGATCCAAGCATTCATCTATTACATGTCACTTACCAATGATTTATTGCTTGATTAAATAGAATAAAGCAGAATTGAAAATTTAAATAATTCTGAAAGATGTTGAACAGCAAATTAGTAAACTATTTAGCTATTTAATTAATGGAAGATGAGTTTTAATTAAGAAAAAATGAATCTTAAGAAAAGATTGGATCTAAGCAAATATTCAAAAATTCCTTTCTCTTTCCTTAAAGTATGAGTCATAAAAGCTTGAATGCAATTGCAATAATTTTCCCCCGGTTTCCTTTCCCGATTGAGCATCATTTCAAATAAATTGCACACGTTTATTGTCTTTCCCTTGCTATTACACAGACTGCAATTTGCATAGCAACGGCGTTTTTGTCACTGCTATCATTTGAAAGATTTTATACAAGCTTCGATAATAAACTTAAACTGAAATTGCAGTAAATTTAATTTGAGATCTCTAAAAAAGAGCAGGTGTTAGATAAAAAGAACTGTGATATCGTATTGGTTATATTTTATCAAACAACTAAGTTCGAGTTTATCATGCTTTACTAATAACAGAAAATGTTTTCAAAGTTAATAAGCATTTCTTAATTTCATTACTTCTTACTAACGAGCTTGAAGCTGATAATGTAACTAAACTAAAATTGCAATAAATTTAATTATTATATGTTCTACTACCTATATTACCAGTACTTGGAGAGTGACTGAGATGAGATGCATTTGAACTTGTAGAGTAATAATCATAGTTCGCTATGCACCTTTGCTGCATTTAATTTTGTGAAATAAAGAGTAACTTCATGGATGAGTAAAGGAGCAGATGTCATCCAGATTACCGAATATTCAAAACGCAAGGGACAGATACATTTCCACTCGAACAACTGTGATCACACTTACAAATAAAACTGACGATCTATTCGGATATATTTCCTTTATTGCTAAATCAATTTCTTTTGAAAACAAGTGACCATTGCTTGATCAGGACATTTTATATGGAACTAGTCCATGATAAGACAAAAGATTGCTTTTGGCCAAACAATAAGCAATAGAAGCAGCAAAAGTTAATTCATGAGATTAAATAGAATATTTATCAAAATTGAGTAGTAAAACATTAGTGAAGTTGACTGTTTGATAAAAATATTTTTTTAGACGTTGCATTTCCACTTGATCAATGTTTATTTTGATTATCAAGAACTGAATAAGTTAATCGATGAGTACTTCAATATTAATAAAAATGAAAAAAATAAACAATGGCATAGAAGTTTTTTGGTAGATCTTTATAATTCTTTTTGCCTTTCATCATTTCATCTTGACTTCAAATTTTATAAAAACACAACTGCAACTAACTCAAAATGAATTTAACTGAATTAAAATATTTAATAGATGGGATGAAATTGAACTGAAATGCTAAATTATTTAAGACAAATCGAACTGAAGTAAATAATTTAATGGTCGTAATGGAATGAATAATTGAAGTAATTGTGAGTCCCTGTTAACTACATAGTTTGAATGAAATTTTGCTGAATTGTTTATGAATGAACGATTTATCTCATTCTATACCACAGGAATAATTCAATAAAGAAACTGTAAAATGTATGCATAAAAGATGTATTTTCAAACATCTGCAGATTTGAAAATTTTGTTCAAAAAAACCAGTTCCTTTGGATAGCGTGTTAAAAGAGGAGGAAAAGATACTTACTTGATGGGACAGTATGTCACTTATAAAACAATGTAAATCTTCACACTTTCCAGAAAACCACTACCATTGTTTAAATTTAATTATTCCTATTATTTACTCTGAAATTGCTGCTGCAATATTTTCATTCAATCATTCAATCTGTTTAATATAATGACATTTGAAATTCTACAAATTCAAAAAAAAAAAAGGAAAGGAAAATTTAAGCATCAAGAGAATTGGTCTTACAGTATATTTTTGATAGAGAAATTAGTTTAATTCGTTCAACTTTAGAATGTTTTTAAAGATAGGTTTATAAGTGATGTACTCTTCTTGACTTTATAAAGACTTATTACATACATATGTCATAGTTATGCGTCTCCCACGCAGCTAATTCTTTAGTTTTATTGCGAATGTGTAATGGAAATGAAAGAGAAAGTAAAGTGTTAAAAAGTACACTTGAATCTAGATGAAAAAATTTTATTTCCAAATGCTCCAATTGATTGTTTCTTCTATACTTATGCTTTCTTTGGTCACGTGCCGAAAGAAAAGGTTTGTTAAAGTCAAAAGATGCCGCAACAGGTTGTCAAAGCCATTTCGACTCTTATCATGCGTGACGAACGTTTTTGCAACCAATCGTGGGTTTTCTTTAGATGGATTAATGAAAAATAAACAAATCTCTGTCAAAATGACTGTTTATGAGAAATTATATATATGCCTTAGGTGCTCCAACTGAGTGAAATTAAAAATTTAGATTAATGGTATTTTAAAGCATGGGAAGTTATAGCAGACAGCAGGAATTAACGCATTACTTATTACAGAATAATATTTTTGTGCAATTACGGTTTATTGCCAAAGACATATAAGTAAATAATAATATAAAAAAGTTAGAAGAAGAAAAAATCAAAACAAAAATTTATTTTATTTTATACTTTAGGTTTTTTAAAAAAAGAAGTTTTTCTCAAAAAGTACCAATTAATGAAACAAATTTCCTAATAACAGTTATAGAAGCACCGATGTCCTCAACAATAAGCATATAATTACAAGCATTCATGATGGAAATATATATGATATTGCTTGTTCATGCCTTCCGGATCATGTTACACAGCAGGATCCGACGATAACTACATGGCGGCAATTGAATCCGGGATAAACGGAAAGAGCTCAATCATCGACGAATTATCTGTAAGATTGAAATGCTTTCGATATCGTAAATGAATGAAATATTCGAGTTAATGGCTAAGAGTCATAACAATGCTTTAGAAAAAAACTAATAAACTAAGACTACACAATGATATATCAAGAACGAATGAGTCAAAGGTCTTATAATTAAAATATTTCTGTAATTACCTTATTGTATTGTTGGTATTTTATCGATATAAAATGATTTACTTAGCTGCCAACTTTCCAGAAAAACTTTTTATTAAAATTTAAATGCACTTGCTGAATTGAAGATTAATTTCAAACTTCAGTAAAATTTTTTATGCTTTGTTTTTTTTACTTCTATTACTACAAATTTCAATATTTTAAAATATGCAAATTTATCTGTCTGATGAAAATTGCTCAGGTTGGTTAATAATACCAATCGATCAACGCATATTCAGCATGGAATCGCTAATGAATGTGTTCCACCTCGTTAACAAGCCATAAATTTTGAGTGAATGAGCGCCAAAATGTTGCCTATTTATTCTAGAAATACCGAGCCAAATGTCAATTAATGCATAATTGAAATGACTAATGAATATATTGGAACATTGCAGACATAGCAGTGTGTTGAGTGAATTGCAAGGGCAATTCTGATCAAAATTTACAGTTGTCACACATTTCTTTCATAAACTTTGACCTCTCATTGCACAAATATCTTGTTTTTTGAAGAAGAGTGAAGGAAACAGGGAAAATATCAAGCTTTATAATTCAAAGTTGTTTGATGAGTAAAAAATAAGTACGAAACACTAAATAATAAATATCCAATTATAAGTTGAAGATTATAATTTAAAAATGTTTTTTTTAGATAATTTCCTATGAGGACGTCTGATTTATCGTGTCCTGTTTGTAAGGTCGTCAAGAAAGCAAGTGATTGGAACCACCTGTCCATTAAGCACGTTATTGGGCGGGAAAATTTATAAAGGGTCAACGAGGTCAAGCTGTTCTTTGTTTGCTACCATAATTAGATAGCTAAATCAGGTGCATCGAGCGCCAATAATTCTAGAAACGAGGTTTCTTTATTTATACTAGGGAAAAAGAAAGGAGGAAAAAGAAATAGGATGATTAAACCTTACTTACTTGTCTTAATAAGCTGAATGGTTTATCCATTTGCTAAATAAATGTCGTAGTGAGGTCAGTGACATTAAAAGTAATGAATAAATATTTTAAAATTAACTAAAACAAAGTTTTGGCCAAATTATGATATTTACTTTTAATTATAAATAATAGCATTCGTAATTTCTCGATTTTTTTAGTAATTGCGCTCTTTTCGCTTCATGAAATTAAAGGCATTTTTTTTCTTGCAGTAACTAAAATTGCATTTGCTATTTTAGTTGCTTCTGGTTACAAACTTTAAAATCTGAGAAAAGATATGTTTGTGAGAAATGACAAATTCGATTATTTTAAAAAAAATTCAAATTATTTTGCCTGAATTTCCGAGAAATCGACGTGAAGAAGATCGTTTTTTATTTATTTGTTGAAAAATTTACTGAAACAAAAAAAAGTAATGTATGTTATGTTAACTTGGATATGAAAATTAGTATTAGTGAAGCTACAGTATCACTTAATCTCGGGCCATCATAAGAGGGATGTTCATTTGAAATGACGTATATATTAATCAGTCCTCTTTTCATTAAAGAAAAAAGGAAAGAATAAGCTTCTTAATTTCATGATTACTAATAATTCCTTCTATTTCTTTAATCGGTTTCTCTGATTGAAATCTATGAGATGAAGCATATAATAATTAGCATATTAATTGCTTCTAGCTCTTTGAAGCATCCAACCAAATATTCAGGAATCAGGTCACCATGCGGCTTTTCTTTATCCTGAAATAAGTGCTGACGCTAAAAAAGGATGCCAATTAGATTATTAAGGTGCTTAGTGATTATCCACTTGCAATGAATTTGCATAAATCTTGTATTTAGAATGATGGAGACGATGTCAAAGGATGCCAGGGAGAGAGGGAGAGAGAAACAAAAAATGAGATACATGAAGACAAACAACTTCGAGAAAATTGTCGTTTTTAAAGTGCAATTAAATTTGCATTCTTCATAAATGATAAAGAGTGCAAGGTAGTGCGCAATATGTAAAAAAATTGAAATTAACTTTGCTAGAAATTTAATTACACTCACACTATGATTTCTAATTATTATAGAATTCTCTTAGTTATGAAAGTTGTTTTAATTTTAGTGTCTAAAAATAAAAAGATGAAAATAAATGTGTTTTTATTTAATATGAAAAAAAAAAAAAATAAATATTGAGGAGTTAGCCCTTGTCAAATGTTTTCCAATAATCATTGGTACAATTGCTTCGGATGTTATTTTGACCTATTTTTAGGTCATAAAGATACAGAGAAGAAATCTGATAGTCTCAGAAAAACAGTCTGCCAGTTCATTGATCGCTTGTCATAATTTCATTAATTATATTCGAAACTTCCATTAAAATTATGAAAAGGGAAGATATATTTTTGATGGTGACATTGACCTAATGCATTCCGAAATATTCCTTTCGAATTAGAAAATATTGCAATTATAGATCATCAATTGGTTATTACTCAGCTACTAATCAATCCTTTTGCATTCGAATGTGGCAGGAAAGACAAATAAGGGTTCAACCATAATTGAATTAGGTAAGATAAACAAAAGAATTGCAAAAGTAAGAAATTTTTTGCGCAATTTCTCTTCGAAATATGATTTAAACCTTTCGGGCGCAATGCAGAAACTGAATAATAGAATACTATATTTCGAAAAGAGCAAGCCTTGAAGTTCTGTCATATATGAGGCAACTGAGGCTAGAATAAAAGCTGAGATTGGTTGATTTTAAGAAGCTTTTTTCAGATATGGAAAAGCCAGAAAATTATTAAAACATTTTTCTTTCATTTCCCTTGTAAATCGGCAAATACCAATACATCAACTTTTACAATGCCTCAAATATTAACAGTTGATTAAAGGTAGAGTTAATATTATATTTCAGCCCTAATGATTGATGATTGATAATACAAGCCAAGAAATATTTAAAATTCATTAAAAGACTAAAAATGGTTGGAACGTATTTTCACTGATTGTTTACGACATTTTTTTTCTGCATGAGTAGCAAGAAATAAAATAAAAATCCAATTAATAATGGTCAAATTGTTTGGTTGCACAAGACGGAATGACTGTTGCATTTCGGATCTCTTGAATATTGCAATGCCGCGGCGCCGAAAACATTGTTTTGGGACGATGTCCAGCAGTGCGAGTCACGCAATGAAGTATGCAGGTAAGAGTTGAGGACATGTCGAGCGGCGTCGGGAAATCAATCTGAGATAATGGAAAGATCACCGCACTAAGGTAAAAACAATAGAGTCAAGTGAGCATTAAATGGTCGTTACATAATTATAATCTGAGCAGTCAAAAAATGCATTTTGGTTGAATGAATTTGCTGCAAGAATATTTTTACTTCCTCAAAAAGTTAAACTTTTAATTTTTATTTGATTGTGCCACTAAAATGGGTTTAAAATAGTTGCGTTTCATTTGTATTTGTATTAAAAGTACGATGACATTTGAGTAAAATTTAATTCGATATTGCTAATAATATTGAACGTCCTTAAAATGGAAAGAAAATTGTTGGCGATCTTCTTCATTTACATGATGTGAGAATTTAGAAGGTCAAAAAGAATAAAGAAAGAAGTTTAGCATACTCGAAACATGTGTTAATTCAAAGCTTTTCTGAAATACTTATAAATACAGAAGTAATTCTCAATGAAGTTTGATGAGTCCATTGATAGTTTTAGTTTTAGCTTGTACTTTTCTTGTTATAAAAGATGGAGAGTTTTTTAAACTTTTGGCAAGAGAATTGTTGTTCAGGTAATTATCAGAGCAATAAAGTGATTTATTCGTCTGAAATGAAGAAATATCATTTTCTGAAATAGAAATCAAATTTTGAGGTTTGATAAGAGTTAAATTTACATTTTTTTAAAATATTGTGCATAAAGTTAAATGAACGGATTCGACTGATCAATGGATCGCTTATGCAAATTAATTGAGAAACAGAAGCAGAAACATGAATTATGCTTTCATAGTGATCATATGAATCTGTTAGAGATGTGACTTGATAGTTAAAATTAATTTCATTATAAAATGAAAAAAATGAAAATGATATTTTATAAAGTTAATTATTTAAGTTAATAACTTGCAGAAATTTATCTATTCTATTGTTAGATTCCCAAAACTCCATTGTCCCATTTATTGTCATTTGTTATTTTCACTATGATTTTCAACAGCAAGCGAAGAAAATGCTACCTTTTACTACTCGAACTAAAACAGAAATATAATTTCCATCATTCTATTCAAGCTGCTTCAGGATAGTGAATCTACAAAAAAATAAAAGTAAATTACCTAATAAAATAAAGAAATAGCATAACTCTATCTTTATTTGATATAATGGAATATGTTTGTACTTCGCATAAGATATAGTAATTTCGTAGTTATTTCAAAGAAAAATATCAAATTGGTATTGAATAGTAGGCTAGGTATTATTTTTTGTTAATGTTGTTGATTGATACAGTGATATGACATTTCTTATCAGCAAGCTTATCTAACCAACTTTGGCTAACTTTCATCGTCCTAATTTCGTTACTCTCATATCGTTTAAGATAAGATTTATTTATCAATTATCATTTAGTTCTTTCTCTCATTTAAGCACGTACGTACATTGCGTTTAGAAAAACTTACACGTGATAAGAGTGATATAAGAGTAATATTTTTCACTTTTTAGCTTCAGCAGTAAAATAATTAAATTAGTATAAATAAAGAGTCAAAATTGATGTTGCATGTGTGTATTAGTTGGAAAATAAAATTAATTTGCTCTTTGTCTGAATTTGTTTATGTTTAAATCTGTTACATGTACTGTCACGTGTGGTGATCTATCTGTTACGTGTACTGTCATGTGTAGTGATCTATCTGTTACGTG